CGAGGGGGACCGAAAAGTCCACCACCGCAGTGGTATACCATGCGACATACTCACTAAAAAAACGCACCCAATATCTGAGTTGCCATTTCTCGGTGAGAAGCATCGTGTCTTCATCGAGCCGTGACTCAAGATCCGCAGCAAAGCGTTCTACGAATCTCCAGTCAGGGGCACAAGCCTCCACGAGCATCTGCCGCACCATTCCAAAATGATAATTAGTAATTCTAACTCCTTCAGGTCAGGGAATCCTAACCACAAATCAAATGGTAAAGGTCAAATCCCACTTGGCGAGTATGCCACTATCACGTGGCGATACCAGTGCTTTTGTTGACGTTAAAATGCTCTGGTCTTGACGAACGAAAATCAGCCCCCCCTATTTCATTCTTAGAGATAGTTGAAGAGAGTTGCACTTAACATGATTAAGCACTGCCATCCAAGCAACTGAAAAGTTGGCCGATCGCATCATTTTAACTGAAAGAGGTGACAAGTCTCGAGACCAACTGCAGAAGCGCTTGGCAAACTCCATAGAGCCTCGACTGGAGACAAGTGACTTGAGTAAAGAGATTTTCACCCCCAGCTCAACCATCATTTTACGATAGACAGACGCCACCTTCGGGTCCCCGATGACTATATCGTCACCGAGGAGGGCGTATTTCCGAAAGACAGTCTCGTCTCGGGATAAACTCTATCCGCCGCAAGCCAAACCACAAAGTGGTGACTCAAGGGTCGACGAAGTTGAGAGAGGATAAGTACCCCAAAGGTTGACCGGTACGAAACCGGACAAAGAACGGGGAACCCTTTTGGGAGGTTGGAGCAAGAAAGACATTGCAACCTAACCCCGAAACGACCCAAGAAAAGCTCACAGTCTTATTGAAGAGTCTTTCTACTAATGTCTCCTGGAACGATAGAGGAAAGATATCAGTAGCAGAAGACAAATCGTAGGAAAATCAATCTTTATGACCTATCAGTCGGCGAAGAGGCCGAGTTTGGTTAAAAGTTCCGTTC